GGTCCTGCGGGATCGGCTCCAGGCCTGCGGCGTGCCCATGCCGATCCTGAAGCTGATGTGCAACACGTGGCAACCGCCGCGTATCATTAGATTGGGACTGCACCACAGTGGTATAGTCTTGTTCGCCACCTTCGGCTTGCTAGCAGGATGTGCCTTCGCAGATGTTGCAGCCCGCGGTTTTACGATCAGCTTGCGCGTCGCAACCCGTCAGTTGATGTCACGAGCTACATTGACGTCACTGGATCACATGTCAGCGGACGAGATCGCGATGTCGTGGCAGGTGTTGCGATCCGGACGTGGCCCTTAAGGTCGGACTGGCCAAAGAGAAGTCTAAACCAGCGGTGGCATACCTTGGTACTGATTTCAACTGTGGCCGTCGACGCGCACATGCACGCGCAGCTGCAAAGAGGAAGTCTCGCCTACGAAAGTCTTCGCAGCGCTTGGCCAAGGCGGCGAAGCTCAAGTCGATGAGGAAAGCTGATGAGAGACTTGGGCGAGTATACACCACTGGCATCAAGATGGCGGATCATTACGGCGTCGAGGTCAACGGCGTTGACGACCAGGAGCTGCTCGCCATCCGTCGCCAGGCCATGTCCTACCTGGCGCCGTCGACGCGGAACGCCAGCCTACGCGCCAAGCTAGCCTTGCATGGCGATCCTGCGGTGCGAGAGGTCATGGCACCAGCGCTCCAGTGGTCAAAAATGAGTTGGCAGGCTGTCGCTTTCCCGTTTGAGGCCATTGTGAGCCTTGTCGAATTAGAGCGGATGTGGGACTGTGTTTTTTCCCAGGACTTGTCGGGTTTGTCCTGGGCCCACACCCGCGGCCCGATTTCCGGGATACCGCTTTGCCATGCTCGCGCAAGGTAGAAGCCAGTCTCAGCCACCGCTCGGGTCGACCACGATGGAATTACTATACAGCTCACGCAGTGCTCTCCCGCAATGCTAGGACAGATGTTTTGCACTGCGTTCCAGGATGCCCATGAGAAGGCTTTGGGGGAGAGGTGGGGTTGCGCTGAAAGGGGTCAGGGCTAACCTGGACGTAGTGAGGGCCTGCCTCAAGTCTAAGGCTAAATACAACAAGATTCAACAGTATTTAGTGCGAGCTGCAGTGTGCGATTGTCTCTGGACTGAGCAGCTTGCCCACGATAGCGGATACCGCACTTCCAGAGCGGGCCGCTGCGAGTGCGGTGAGCCCGACGCAGTGCATCACCGCCTGTTTTGTTGCGAACTCCCAGCTGCTGCCCAGGCTCGTCGTGAGGCGGAAGTCCCGTCCGCTTTCCTGGAGGAAGCTAAAGGGGGCCCAGCCCGCCTGCTCCATACCACCATACCAAAGGTGTTGTCTCGGTGCTCCCAAGGGATATCCCTCCTGTTGTCGGGCGCCCCGTGGCCGAGGTCCTGGATGGCCTGGGGGAGGTTTTTCTTGATCTGGAGCCCGAGCAGGTGGTCCAGTTTGTAGGTCAGGGCGACAGCCTGCACATTGCAGCGGACGGTAGCAACACAATGCCGATTTCGTCTTGTTTTCAGCGTGCTGCTTCTGCGGTCGTGCTGTTTTACCCCCAGTCCGAGGCCGCCCTATCCGTGATGCGTGGCACAGTGCCTGGAGGTGTCCCGCAGTCCCCCGCGATGGCGGACAATGTCTCGATTGCCGTCGCCTGTCATATTGCAGATCGCAGCATGAGGATGCATGCAGATTGTAAAGCAGCCGTAGCCCAGGCTCCTCCCAGAGCACGAGCAGCTTCGTGCAAGCAAGGTAGGGGTCTCGGCTTTCGCCCGCTCGCTCAGTGGGCATGGCCATGTTATGTCCATCCAGCATGTCAAAGCGTATAGGAGCGAGGGCGTGATTGATAGCTTGCCGCCTGGGGGGGCGGGGTCCTGCGAAAGGTAATCGCGCTGCGGACCTGCATGCTAAAGAAGCGCTTACGCTGCACGCTCTCATGGCCCTGAAGCGGCCAACCGTCTTGAGGCTGACGTCAAGACCGCCAGTAATTTCGCCAAGCTTGCTGCCAGCGTGTTGCCAGTATTTCAGCCACGAGCGAAGCGAGAGAGGCCCTTCGCCCGACACCGCTCTGTTAAGACCTCCCCTGGTTGGCATGGGTGGGCGAGTGGACCGCTGGGTGTTCGGTGCAAGCCTTGTCTGGCGGTTGCCCATGAGGGCAACCCCCAGGGGGCTCTGGGATGCTCTGGGGCCCCCGAGTTCGTTCGTCAGGTCGTTCGCCGTTCCCTGGGGCACCTCATTGTTGGTGTGGCCTCGCATGAGATCCACCCCAGAGCCCCAGAGCCCTCTGCGTCCAAGAGGAACCGATTTCAGTTTTTGTGCGTTCGGTGTGGCTGCTGGGTCCAGAGGTGCTCCCGCAATCTTGATAAGGAGTGCCAGAGACCCTCAAGGAAGGCCCGCGAAGTACTCAGCAGGGACTCGCGAGGTCTGGGCCCCAGCAACCGAATCCGTCAGTTGATTGATAGAGCTGCAGCGGTCACTGCAATGTCTGTGGTCCCCAAGCCGCGATGTAAGACTCGGGCTCGTACGTCTGTTTCCTCGGCCCTGTCGTGTGCCCCCACCGTCCCTGTGTATGAGAGACGGTTGGCTGCTCTCGCTGAGCGAGTGCGGGCCAAGGAGGCTTGGAAGGCTGATGAATAGTTTTTGGGCGGTGGCACCCCGTCGCGGGCCCTGGTCCGAGCGCGGGGAGCTCTACCCTCCAGGGTAACAAAAGGGTGCCACCTCCCCCTCTTTCGTTTTAGTCTTGCGAGACTCTTCCCCTCGTGGCTGTCCTAACCGAACCTCATCCTTTTCCGTCGGCCCCAGGCAGACGAGGAGGAGGAGGAGGAGGGGGAGGTGGAGGAGGACGACGAGATGACGACGAGCACGAAGACGACGATGAGGACGAGGCGTTGCCAGCGTGGTTGTCGGTAGTGGCGTATCAATCGGAGTCGTCGTCGGCATCGCCGCGGGAGCAGGAGTAGGAAGTGGGATCGGTGCCCGCGACGGAGCCGTGATTCGAACGGCCGCTGGGGCGTCGAAGCCATCGTCAGAGCTGGCGTGACTGTCGGAGCTGCTGCTGGAATGGTGGCCAGAATGGGTCGTGACGACAACCAGCCCTGAGACCTTGGCGTTACATTTTCACACTGGCCGTGTTCGCCTTGTTTCGGGCCCCGAGACTATCACATATCGATTCATTTCAACAGATGCCTCAAAAGATTGGGTCTAGGGCTCCGGCCGTGATTGTGTGCGATGTTGCATGTTTTATTGCAGCGGCAGTTTTCAGGGGGGCCAATCGCCCGTCACTGCGCTTGGCACGCAATTGCTATGACCACTACCGTTTCCATTACCACTGCAGCTACAACTGCCCCTACCACGGCTATCACCGCTACCAGGAGCATTTCCATGATTGTCGCCACCAGTTCCCCCGCGACCGTCACGGCCACCAGTGACGTGGCCACGTGGAAGTGCACCTCTACGCTCCGCACTGCTGCAACCAACGCCATCGGCACGGTCCGCACGCAGACCCTCACCACAGCTGCCAGCAGCACCTTAACGTTGCACATTGTCCACATCCGAGTCGCAAATTTGGCCAGGGTCTCAAGGCGATCACGTCCACTGTTCCTCACGATCTTGCCGACCTCGAGCACGGCCAGTAACACACCCACCACAACCATTTCACCATCTACCTGTATCCTGGCTGATACCGCCATATGTAGCATGGTTTTGATCAAAGCTTGAACCACTACCACGTAGCAGCTCGTTAGCCTTGCCGACAGCATGGCCGATGGATTTCTCAAGAGATGTATTCCCAAATCTGTCCTTGTACATCTGAGGCCTCGCCGCACATTCGGATGGCGTGCTATTCCGGCGAGAGCTCGGCCACCTAGTTGCGGCTTTGCGACCGTTCAAGATGCCATTATGGTCCCCGATGTGTTATCGGCAGTCTTTCCGACATCATCTGCATCGACTGTTTTCTCAATAGCGGCACTAACGACCATGCCGACAAAACGTGGGGCATCACACCAGATGCGTTGAGAGCTACATTGACAGTAGCACTATCTTCTTCGTGAGCAACAGCGCCCTCGGCAACAGCACTGGCAGCAACACCAATTTGCTCTTCCACGTCAGCGGCAACACCGACGTCTTCCCCGACAGCGATATACCCAGCTGCCTCCATCGAAAACAAGTTGTAGGTGCCTCCGGCGATCTCTGAGGCGACCCTTGCGGATCGTCTCTGCGTGAGCCTCTACTCCTCTCCCCTTTGATGTGTATGTTGACTTGGCTACGATCCAGGGCGGATTGTTCGGCCCGAGCGTATGCATGCTGTTGTTGGCCGAAGCGTGTGTGCGAGGACGTGGTCACTCGAGCGGAGAAGGCCCCCTTTTCATACAAGGAGGCCGGCTGTTTTCGCATAGGGGCCGCCTCAGTGTAATCATAAATCATTTTTGGGACCTCGTGATCTTCAGGTTTACACGTTGCCTTGTTTATGTTTGGATTGTTCTATGCGGCCCTCTTTCGCTAGTCCTTCCCACTTCCTCCATCGCTCTCTCCCTCCCTCTTCTTGCTGCCTGTTCTGGCGTGATTGCCACCATGGCCACTTTCCTATCATCGCGACGCCGCATGGTCATCCATTCGTTCTGTGCTAGGCTCTCTTCCCCTGATACCTGGTGTCCGAGGCCTTCTTGTATGAGTGGTCGGCTGAACCACGGGGAATGCCTACACAGCGCATCAGTCCCTTCTCGTCGGCCTCTTCCCCCTCCCGCCCCTCTTTTTGCTGTGCGCTGCTAGCTGCTGCTCTCGTCCGTCGTCTCCGTAACGGTGTGTATCGATACGAAGTCCATCCTTTGTTTGAATCACCGCATGCTCGCTCAAAGGTTTGATCGGAGCGTAGAGAAGCAACCATCTTTAACATCGTCTCCCACGCCTTTTCCGCCCTCCACTACGTCGTCTCCTTGCCGCACGCGCTCGTTGTCGTGACCTCCCCTCCTGCTCGAGAGTCGTCGCGAGCACGCGCCCCCCATGAGGGAGATCTGCAAGCCTGCCCTGCACATCGCGCGCCAAGCCGTCAAGCTCGACGTCGTCCGCACGAAGGCGCAGGCGCAGGCCAGTCGTGGGGCCAGGTTTGGGGCTCGTGACGTGATTCCAGGTCAAAAGGGAACGGCGGGCAGGAGGGGATTGGGGGGAGCATCGCGCGCCAAAAGGGGTCGAGTTGGTTGCAAGAAGTTAGGGCTGGCATGTGCAGGCGGGAGCTGGGCCAGTTCGCCTGCTCAGCTGAAGCAGAGCAAGTGGCCCGATTGGCGCCCATGTAGAACGGCAGCTGAGATCTGAATGCGTTTCTTGACATTCTTCGAGAGGAGGAGGAGGATATGTCAGCAGGCGATAATAGATGGTGATCAGGTTGTGAAGATATTACAGGATCTCTATGGGGAGGGTCTTGGGCGATGAGGAGGGTCAGCGAGGAGTGGGGGGCGGAGGAGGGAGAGCAAATCAAGAGAGGTGGGAAGTTGAGTAGATATGTAGGCGGGCTTTGAAGAGATTGATGATCATGTGGTCGTGCATGCTACGGAACTTGCATACGAACGTTAACAATTTACCTCACTTGTTCTAGCCGTGAGAAGACGGGACCTGATGCCTAGCTTGGTCCGCAGGGTCGAGAAGCATACGGGGGCCGTGAAGCTTCGGTGGATGGGGGCCCAGAATGCATGGACGTGCTCACGGAAAAGTTTGGGGGGCTCCTCTTGGTGCGTGCTGGCGGCGCGTGCGTCTGCAGATGGCGTCTGCTGCAGTGCGGTGCAAACTGTCGGACTCGGGCATGGAGGCATCTCTTCCGCCTCGCGCTGCGAGCGGGACGAGCGCCGAGGCCCAGCCGCAGTCCGAGCTGTTCTGAGCGGGCGGGGGGCTTGCCACGCTGGCCCAGCACCACGGCAGCCACGGTCGGCGTGCGTCTCAGCCTGCCGCATGACGTCGGCGAACCAGTGGGCCTGCCCGAGCTCCGGGAGCGCTAGGGCCGCCTGGCGCCAGGCAGCTTGCTGCAGACGAAGGCTTCTTTGCTCGTCGATTGTTTCGCCATCCTCATCATGGCTCACCCCCACTTTCGAAAGCAGCGTTAGCCGGCGTGGGCCCCAACCAGTGAGTTCTTGTCGTCTCGATGTGCAGTCCGAGTGTGGTGCAATCTGTGTATGGTCGGATCTGCAAGGCACAGGTCATTATGAAGAGCTTGAATCGTCAACTCCAGTGCCCATCCTGAGCTCCAACGTTTGAGTAAACGCCCCACCCACCCACCCGCAACTAGCTGGACAAACTCGATTAGCGTAACGACGCGAGGGCCGTCCTTCTCCAGATCCATGACTCGGGCGGGCGAGTGCTGATGATGATGGTGACGCTGACGACGAGGGGACAAGGACGACGACGATGGTGATGATGATGGTGATGATGATGCTAATGATGCGAATGATGCTAATGATGTTAATGATGCTAATCATGATGTTGGTGACGGCGGCGGGGATGATGATGACGACGATGGGGACGGTCATGACGGTGGCAGTGATGACGATGGCGATTGTAACGATGGTATTGATGAGGATGGTGAGAAAAGATGTGCGCGCAGAGTTTCAAAACAACCAGACAAAATTGCATCCATGTAAAAATATGCGGGCTTTCATCTGCATTTGACGATGTATGTGTTGATGCATTTCGGACACAAGGATGTCCGGAGGATTTCGGCGTGCGCGCTCGGAGACGCGCGCGTGTGACCAGCACTGTAGCATTGTATGATTTGACAAGGCTGGCGGGAGCTCGATGCTTGTTAGATGCTTTCGGCATGCGCTCGCGTGTGGCCCGCATGGCTTCGGCGTGCTAAGCATCAAAAATTTGGGGTTGTTCATGATTTCGGCGAGTGCGTTCGCGCTAAATTCTGGCAGCTTCTTGTTGAAGAGAACAAGAGTTGTTGTTAGCGGTTGGGAGCATGTGCCGTGACATGTGCTTGACCGAAATAAGGCACGTTTTGTAGAAATGTGGCATGCACCTACGCCTGCATGGTATTATTCGATCCTCCTTCTGGCACAATTCTGACAACATGCAGTTGTTACGGTGGAGGCGTTTGTTAAGGAATAGTCCAAGGAGGCGCCAGACCCTGGAGGATTCCTTATCCAATGAGGCCGGCGGTGATACCCATGGACACTCCACGATTGCAGGTCCACTGGCTTTCAGACCCTGGATTCCTTATCGAAGGCTTCCTTATCCAAGGCCCCCGCCGTAGCCCAACGGGTGCGCAGCACGTTGCATCACCCGAAGGGTTTCACCCTCGGCCGCCACCCCTACCCCGCATATGACTCGCACAGCCACGACTGATCAGCAGGTCGGCTGGTTTTGTTGTCGGTCAGCTGGCTGGCAGCACAGCTGCTCGGCTTGCTGTCTACACGCTGTTTGTTTCTAAGTATTTCAAAGTTCTTAAATTTTTTGGGGGGCCAATATCCTCGCATTTCTAATAGTTCCATCTTGGGCCTCTTCCTGGCCACCAGGGGGCCAGGAACAATTAGAAACGAGCACAATTAGAAATGAGCAGGATTAGAACTGAACGACGTGTACATTGATGACTTGGCAGTTGATGCGGGTTGTTTGCTGATTGGCTGGTTGCGCGCGTCTGTAGTGATGGATTAGAGATGATGGCCTCGGGGCCGCTCTTCCATCGTCACGTACATGGGTTCGTGGCTTCGGGGGCGTGCACCCCTATCTATGTTCGAGGGTTCGTGGCCTCGGGCCCAGAGCTACATTCTCCAGAAACGAGGGAGGAGGGGCGAACATGTTTTTCCGAAGACATACCCCAACACTTCTGCGATTCGCCGTCGCTGGCGGTTGGCGCCCTCGCGGTCGTGCCCTTGGAAGAGGGAGGGGGAGAAGATGCGAGGAGCGGTGGAGAAGGACGAGGAGTAGAAGGAGAAGGAGAAGGAGGATGAGACGGAGGAGGATTCGCATTAGGAAGGGAAAGAGGCATTCGTACGGGGACAGGGCTGCCGAGAACAATGCGAAACAGGGGAGGGGCAGGAAGGACGCAAAGGATGGATGACGGGGGGAGGAGGACGAGGAGGAGCAAGAGGGGGAGCGGGCGAGCCCCAGGGGCGTGCACAGTTGAAGCCGTGGTGTCCCGAACGTCACCCCGGCCGCGAGATGCGGTCAAGGGGGGGGTGCCCGGAGGCCTCTCAAGGTCGAAGCCGTGGTGTCATAAGGCGCCCCCGCGGCCGCAAGACGCGGTCAAGGTGAGGTGCCGGTCGGGCGCTCAAGGTTGAAGTTGTGGTGCCTTGGACGCCACCCCGGCTGCGGGCTTCGACGCGGGAGCGGGGGTGGCAATGATGTTTGGACCGTGCGCGCTGGTAGCGGCCCATGTCCACGGCTTGGAAGTGTTGCTCTCCCCTTCGCCTCGGCCACGCTCCCAGCTCGAGGGGGAAAGCAGGGGGAAGTGCTCCCACTTCGGCGCGAAGCATATTCCTGGCCCGAATTGGCGCTCTTGCTTTCGCGTGGGCTGCGTTCCTGTGCCCGCCTAGCTGTTGGCCGCACTCCAGCCCAGATAAACTTCTCGCTTCAGCGCCAGCCGCATTACCAGCCTGGACTGGCGCTCCCGCCCAGACGATGGTGCCATTACCACTCCAGCCGGCTTGCCGGGTAGTAATCGACGCGGTCTAGGGTTTCTCTTGGGGTCAGTTGGGGCCTTGTTGGGTTACTTCCAGGCCTCAGTTGAGCGCCTTTGGCTGACTCGATCTTCTGATGCCCAGTCGGAGCGAAGGCGACAACGCCACTACCATTGAAAGTCATGCATCACACTCCGCGCTGGCGCATCAGAGTGAGGGGGAGGAGGGTGGTGCGTGCCCCCGAACATGGCCCCCAGTTGCAGCCCCCCCCCACGTGTAGCCCCCAATGCGCGGCGCCCACCTGTGGCCCTCGAGTTTGCCCCCCGAAGTTTGTGCACGTGTGGGTTCGCATGCACCCCACGAGGCGCCCACGGACGGCCACAGGCCGAGATCCCAGCAAAAACGCAGTCAGCACGTGCAGCCTCAACGAGATACCCGCCGTGCAAGCATTGTTTGCGGAAGCGGTGGTTATTTCTTCCCCGTCTGTTCTTCATCATCGTCATCCCCATCTTCCTCCACTTCCCTGTTCTCCTCATGATCCGTCGCCAACTTCTCCGTCTCAACTTTGGGATTATCCGGTTCCCCTTCTTCCTCTTGCAAAATGATCCGGCCTTCTTCCCAATCTTACCCGACCGCATGTTCAATTCCTAATTGTTGCCGCCTTCCCTCCTGGTCTGCTGCATCCTCCTCCCCCATCTCTTCATCCTCATCCTGATGGGCTCCATCATTAACATCGAATGTCTCGTCGTCGTTGCCCTCATCATCTACTGTTGCTCCCCTTCTAGCTCTTCTACGGCTATCGCAATTTTCTACTCCTCAACTTCTTCCTCCCGCCACCACCCACTCGTTCCTTCTCCCTTCCGCGGAGATCCCCGTGATGGCGTGCGCTATTCTGATCGCGGCATGGCTGCTGGACTCTCCGAAGAAGCCGGACTTCGAACAAGTCGCCAAAGAAACGAAGGCGCCCGCGTGATAGCACGATGTTTCGAGGGTCGTCGACGACAGCGGACGGGGGAGAGGAAGGATGGAGGGGAGGAGGAGGAGGAGGAGGAAAATGGAGGGAGGAGGGAGGAGGAACGATAAGTAGGGGTGCGGGAAGAAAGAGGGAGATCATGCTGCTGCTGATGATGATGACGAAAACGATGACGATGACGATGACGATGACGATGCCGACGATGATGATGATGATGATGATGATGATGATGATGATGATGATGATGATGACGACGATGACGATGACGATGACAATCATGATGATGTTGATGTTGATGATGATGATGATGACGATGGCGATGACGATGGCCATGGCGATAATGATGATTTTGCTGATGATGCTGCTGATGATGAAGACGATGATGATGATGATGACGATGATGATGATGATGATGATGATGATGATGCTGATGGTGATGATGATGACGACGATGACGATGACGATGACAATCATGATGATGTTGATGCTGATGATGATGATGACCATGGCGATGACGATGGCAATGGCGATGATGATGATGCTGATGATAATGCTGCTGACGATGAAGACGATGATGATGATGATGATGCTGATGGTGATGATGGTGATGGTGATGGTGATGGTGATGGTGATGATGATGATGATGATGATGATGATGATGATGATGATGATGATGATGATGATGGTGGAGGAGGAAAAGACCGTTCCCACCACATTATGCGTTGACCATTTGGGCTGCACGCGCAACGTCTTGGCACATCCACCCCGGCATTGCGCCTTTCTTCGCTCCCCTTGTCCCTCCTCCTACGGCCTCTGAACTTCCTAGACATCTTTGTGCTGGCGGCCGCTCTTCGTGACGCCATTCGTTTGTCCAACGATGTTTGTCGACCGATTCCTAGAGGCGAGCTGCTGGTGCCTCTTTCGCGGTGACAGAAACCTCGGCGTGTGCGCCCTCCTCGCGTCAGGGGCTCCCCTCCCCCTGGTCGTCTGCGCCTCCCCCGGGGGAGCAGAGGAGGGTGTCTGTCCAAGACGGAGGGAGCAGCAGCGGTGGCCATCAGAGGGTGTCGCAAATGAAGGGGGCGGGGGCGAGAGGGGAGGCAGCCCCAGGGCAAGGGTGCATCGTTTCAGAGCGTTCTGGAGAGCTCGCGGAGCGGCCTGGAACGCTCCGGAACGGCCGCGGCGTCCGACACGTACTCCAGACCCGCCGGCCGTCAGATCCCTTGGGCTTGCCTGTTTCCGATGCTGTCTTCTGTCTGCCCTCGTCTTACAAGGGGAGGGGGGAGGAGGTGGAGGGGTACAGCTGGGGCGCGGGCTAAGAGCAGCAACAGCTGTGCAAGGGTATCCTTGTCTTCTTCGTGCCTGGGCTCTCCACTCTGCTGTACGCTTCGCCTGGGGCATTTGCGGGGGGCGCTGGGCCTTCGGCGAGGGGCCTCACGTTCTTGGCCCACGTTCCCGTGGCCACGCTTCGGCCGGACGCCCTCACACCTGCAGCCGCTTTGTTGCCCTGTCGACCGGGCTTTCTGCTGGGACCAGGTCTCGAGATTCAGAGTGAGCTCGGAGCTACGTCTGTTCGTGAGCCTGGGTATGCCCAACAGCCTTGCTCTGCCACTCCCAGTGGCTCTGAGCTCGACCTGCTACGTGAGCTGATTCTAAGCTCTGGTCCCGCCCCGGGCCCTGACCCCCGCAGGCCTCTGTCCTCCTCCGCCTCCTCCTCCTTCTCCGCCTCCGCCTCCGCCTCCGCCTCCGCCTCCGCCTCCGCCTCCGCCTCCGCCTCCTCCTCCGCCTCCTCCTCCTCCTCCTCCTCCTCCTCCTCCGGGGGCCTCTGGAGGCCCGACGGGCCGAACGTTCCAGGACACCTCTCCCCTCGGCCCTCGAGGGTCGAGGGAAGAGCTTGGCACTTGCGCGCGGATGCTCTCGGGCGCTGTCATTGGCAGCGCTCGGACGTGTGCAGTTCGCCTCGGCGAGGGCCGTCCAGGAGCACACTGGATCGCCTTACGAAAAACGAAACGCACGACATCGAAGCATGCACGGGAAATTGGACACCCGAGCGATGGCGAGCATTGGTATACAGCTGGCACGCCGAAGAAGAAAATTGGCTCTGCCAGCAGGTGCCCCGCGGAAATTGTTCATTCCTCGACGGCCCCAGGCACCCGTTTGGAGTTCTGGGGCATCCCGCGACGTCCCGGGTCGGCCGGGCAGTGTGCCCCGGGCTTCTTACAGCGAGATTTCTTAGCGTCTGTGTCCACAGTACCCATCGGTTGTTGAAGGCAGGTATTCTTGGAGCCCCAGGTTCCAATCTATTTTCAGCGCCTTCCTACTTCAATGATCGAGTGGCTTCACCTTTTCCGTCCTCGTTAGGGGGCGGGCGGACACCCAGTCTATTTTCAACGCCTTCCTACTTCATGTTTCTACATACTTCTTCCGACCGATGGGTATTGGCGGCTGCGCCACCGATCCCGATGCTCGAGCACCCGCGGGCACTGGCGTCGGGTGGCTTGGCCTTGCCCGCGCCTCGGCCACCGGAGGCGGCCAATGAGGGGGGGGACGACTGGTTAGCCCCCGCCTTCTTACTTCCCCAAGCTGCACCTGCACTTTGGGGTTCTTACTTCTCTCGCTCGGGAAGCTGGTTGGGTCCGCCGAGGTTTCGCGGCGTCGCCGCCAGCGGCCGCCTCGTGGCCACACACCTTGCACCACACAGCCAGCTTGCACCACAGAGCCTGCACCACATAGCGCGCACATCCACAGCGCAATCACTTACTGTTTGAGACCCACGTTGGGCCCACGTTGGCTAACGTCCGATTTCGACACGTCCCTTGGTCCCTCCCTCGTCCGCGCACAGGCCTCCTGCCATGATCTGCGGACCCCCCTCTTGGACGACCCCTCCTTGGACGCCGCCGGGGCCAGCGCGCCCCTCGCCCCCCCCCCACCGCCTCCCCCCGGGGCCTCCGACGCCACAGACCGTCTTTCTGTCCCCTGGCGATGACGGGCGTGACCGGGGGGAGGGGGAGAAGGCTGGTCACGTCACGATTCGCGCCGGCGCTGTCTGGCCAACGCCTAAGTCCGCTATACGCAAGAGTGACCCTGGGTAAGAGTGACCTTTGGTGTGCGGCTTTTGAGGGGGCCGCGGGGGGACCAAACCTGGGCGCGCAAGCAGCTGCTACTGTCTCGTTTTCAGCCATCTGGGGACCCATCTGTGCCCGCACCAAAGGTCACTCCTGCGAAAGGTCACTCTTGCGCCTAGTCGACTAAGTCTATTATGGCTCATTCCCAGACGGCGCCGGCGCGAATCGTGGGGGAGAGGGGAGGGGTTGTGGTGCGGGCCGGTCACGGGCGTTCCCGCGAATGATAGCAACAATCGGGCGGCGGCTTCCAGGCACGTGCCCCCGCGCTCAGGGTTGGAAGAAGAGCAGCTCGACTTGCAGCAACTTGGCCAAATTCACGACGGAGGCTTGTTAGCCGTTGTCGGCACCTGGAAGGGCCCCTCGCTGGGCCCCGCGGGGCTGGCAACAAAGACGATGCAGGTCGCGCAGCTGATCCCGGGGAAGTGGCCCAGAGCTCCGGGGACCCCGTAGATTGAAGAAAGCAAGGCACCGGAGGTTGGTAGGGCTTCGGGCTGCGCACAGACAGCCCCCCAGGTGGCCCCAGCTGGCCCCACCCCCGAGTAGGCTCAGCTGGCCTCAACAGGTCCCTTGAGTAATTGGCCGCGGGCGGTCGCAACACTCTGGCGCCGCCTCCGGCGGCGCCCCTGGGGCGCTCCGCGCCCAGGGTTGGGGTGCCTGTGCGCAACCCGAAGCTTTCCCATCGTACAGTCGGGGTGCTGACGAAGGAACCCTTTTCGTTGGGGGAGGGCTCAGTGTTCCTTGACCGTTTTACAGCTTGTCTGCGGTTTTCCTTAGGTCTTCGATGGGAAATCAAAGTTTAGCTTATGGAAGAAAGGGGCTTCGTTCCTTATTCAGGGTTCCTTCTGGCAGCGCTTCGACTGTAGGTCTGGGTATCAATTACACGCCGCCGTCGCCTGCCCTTCCGCTTTTGCTGCCCCCTCGCGATGGTCCGAAGGCTGGGGTGCTTCTTCGGCAGCAACGCGCCGATGGGTTCCCCACGGCGGCGTGTCGTTGACGTTGTTGTTTGCTCCCGCACGCGCGGCCTCTCCGAGGGGCAGCTGGAGCAGGAGCAGGATCGAAGCTCGAGGGTCGATGATCGAGGTGTGTCGGCGCTTTTCCTCCCTTGGGGCCTCTGGCAGGCTCCTCGTCATCACGGCTGAGTCGCCTCGAGGCCCCGTCAAGGCCGCATCCCAGGGGAGGTCCAGAGATCATCCATGAGTCGAAGCCGACGGCCCAGGCGACCTAGGAGCGGTCTCCCATCGTAGTATTTTGGCGTCCAGGTGCCCGAAATTGGCCCGCAGAGGCCGAATGCATGGGAAGACTGGGCGCCTTGAGCTTTCGACGCGGGGCGAAGGACATCCAGGGCCCGGGCCCCTCCTGACGGTATCATGTCTGGGGCAGCCGCCGGCCGGGAGCCCCACTGGCCAGGTGGAAGACGCGCAGGTGAGGGCCGCGTACAAGAGCATGTGGGCGCGCATCCGCCAGGGGCTCCTGCCGGAGGAGCTTGGACGGAGGGGGGCGCTCTACGACCCAGCGGAGGAAAAAAATCCGATACCGCTGCTCGCCTCGGAGAGCCTTGGTCGCCACGGCTCGATGCTGCTGCTCGTCTTGGAGAGTCCTCGTCGCCACGGCTGCATTCGCTTCGACATGCTGGTCAGAACGCATCCCGGGTGAGGTCCGGGCAGCGCCCCCAGACGGCCGTCAACCAGCCCGTCCAGTCAACCTCAGGTTGATGCACAGTTCATGACGTCAAGCCGAAAGTTCGGACCAATTGCAAATCATCTGGTTGGACTTTGCCACATTCCGCTAATCATGCTCTTGCATTTGCTGGCCCAGCAGGCGCCAGCCTTGCAAGGGATGTCAAGCGATCAGCGCGTAAAGACCCCGCGCGCGCACCCCCCTGCGAAAGGTTCGCGCGCGCCCCAAGCCCACGAAGTCGTCGAGCCAACGATTGATCGGTCCAGCAGGTGGTGCGCCGCGGGAGAGTTGGCCGCGCGAAGTGGCCGCGCCCCTTCCCATCCGTTCGAATCGCAGCTCCACCGCGTGCGGAGCGAAGTTCGAGGACGGTAGAGGAGGGGGAAAGGAGGCGCGACGCCAACCTGCCGCGCGGGTACCATGGATGGACATGCATCTGGCACCCTTGCGAGAAACGGAAGCAAGCGCATCGGAGGATCTGGTTGCGCAGATGGCCACGCAAGTAGCCGCGAACGGGCGCGCGGCGCCGCGAAGGGGCGCTAGGCGCATGCCCCCGGCCCTCACCCGTCGCGAACGCAAAAGCTCTAGGCCACCCAGATGGGGTCCGAGCAGACGGGGTCGGAGGATCGCGCCGACGCATCGGCGATGCGGCTCGATGTGGAGCCCGATGTTCTCCACGCCGATGGCGCCCATGCATCGCCGATACACCGCCGATGCATCGCCGGTACATCGCCGATGCATCGCCGATACATCGCCGATACACCGGCGATGCGGCGCGATCCTCCGACCCCATCTACTCGGACCCCATCTGGGAGGGCTCCTAACGCATGCCGCGCGCGAGAAGCGGCTCCACGCCGCGCGCGCCCGGGCCCCCCGCCCCCTGTTCCGTCCGCGCTCTCGAGCGCAGGGTTCCTCCGTCTGCAGCCAGCTGCTACCGCCTGGCTGCGCGAGCGCCGCTCCCCGCCCGAAATCGCCTCGGCTGAAGGCGCGTCGAGGCAACGTTTGGCAGCGCGGTGTACGGTCGGAAACTTCTGAATCACGTGTCGCCCCGCCGGTTCTAGCCCACCACCTTTCGGCGCGACGCGCTATCCACATCACTGTCCCCAGGCGTCCGCGTCACGAGCGTTTCCAAGCTTCCCGCCCCGAGGAGCGGAGCAACACGCTTTCCGCTTGTCAGGCATAGCGTGTCGCCGGGGGCCGCCGCGGTGACACGCTAAACAGAAGTTCCTGACCGTAATTTGCATCCGAACTGGTAACAGAGAGCATGCTGCGGGAAAGTATCGGCGCAGCGCCCACCCAACGCGTAATCGCGTTGGCCTGTGAGCCGCCTCGAGCGGCGTGCGCGTCGCAGCCACCATACTTTCGCCTTGACCCTGAGAGAAGCTGTGTATGTACATGTGTGTGTGTTGGTCTGTGTGTGTGTGTGTGGGTGTGTGGGTGTGTGGGCGTGTGTTCCCGTCACGTCTGCGCTGCGCCCCCATGAGAGACGTCATCTTGGGTGGCGGCCAGTGCGCTCCTTTTTCTCCCCGCCATCCACGCCCGGATGGCAATCTGCCGCCCGCCTGCTGAGCTGACCCGCGCGGGCTCCGGCTTAGGTGTCGGCCGTTGTACTTGATTTGTTCCGCCTCGTCGACTCGCGTGAGGCCGCGATTGGCAGAAAGTGTGTGTGTGTGTGTCTGTGTGTGCGTGCGTGTGTGTGTTTGTGTGTGTGTTGTGTGTGTGTGTGTGTTTGTGTGTGTGCTTGTGTGTGTGTGTGTTTGTGTGTGTGGTGTTGTGTGTGGTGTGTGTGTGTGTGGTGTGTGTGTGTGTGTGTGTTTGTGTGAAGTGTGTGTGTGTGTTGTGTGTGTTGTGTGTTGTGTGTTGTGTGTTGTGTGCTGTGTGCTGTGTGCTGTGTGCTGTGTGTTGTGTGTTGTGTGAGTTCGTACGTGCGTACGTGCGTGCATGCGTGCGTGCGTGCGTGCGTGCGTGTGTGTGTGCGCGCGCGCCCAATTCGGCGCGCGATCGACGCCGCTCCACGCGCGCGCAAGCGGCGTGCCCGATTCGGCGCGCGTGCGGCCGAGCGCCGACAGCCGCGCGGGACGAAGCCGACCCTGCACTGGCGACGTAGGCGGGGCGCCTGGAATAAGCACGGCGCTGGCGCGCGCCCCGAGCCCACGGGGCCTCGGCGCCCGAACAGAGCCGCGGGCAGGGGGCTTCATGAGAGCGGCGGCCATCGCAGAGGTCGAGCGTCTGCGCGGCCGCGGGGGGCCACTTAACCTCGAGTTCCATGATCGGCCCAAACGGCGCCGCCCTGTTCCAAGCGCGTCGGGGCGTGCTTGGCGTCTTCCGCGTGTGGCTGCGCGGCTGCAAGGATGCAGAGGCCCTGCCAAGCTCGTCAGCCGGGCTGGGGCGTCAACGTTTCGGCCGTGACGAACGGCAGCGTTGGCGCGGGCGCGTTCCCGCGGCCCGATGCCGGGCAGCAGGATGATGTCGGAGGGCCACGCTGCTGCCCCCGCTTAACGCCCCATGTCGACGCTCGACGTCGGCCGCTGATGTCGACCCAGGGGGTTGACGCTCGGCGTCGACGTTCGACGTCGACGCTCGATGTCGACCGCGGGGCATGACGCCAGTCCTTGACCACGGGGGGGTTGGCGTCCCCCCCGCTTGACCGCTCATGTCGCGCGTTTTCTGCCTTGGCCCAAGAGCAAGCGCCGCCCCTGCGCAAGGAGACAAGAAGACACAGCGGGAGACGCGGGGGCCGCCGCGAGCGCGTCGGCTCTGGCCCAATGGCGGGGGCCCTTGCGCGCGCGCGGTAGCCATGACCCATCCTGCACGAAAGCACGCATTGTGAGACAGGCGGGGGGCGCCGCTCGTGCGACACCTCCGGGCCCATCTGGCACGGCGGGAGACACGCAAAGCGGGGGAGGCGGGATTCGCCAATGGCGCGACGGCCCCAGCGCATCATGCATAAAGAAAAACGAAACAACAAAGGCGGAAGCCGACGCGCGCGCGGGGCGGCCCAAGCCCGTCCCAGATGGGAAGCAGCGGCGCGGCAGAGACGGATCCCATCCTGGGCGGCAGAAGGCAGCGCGGGAGAGGTGCGATCCGCCGCGCGTGACAAGGCGAAGCAGGAGAGCCAGCTGGCGACCAGGGAGCCCGGCCCGGAGCGGGGGAGCTCTCTCTCCGGCCGAGCGGGGCAGAGATCTCGGTCGAGCGGAGAGGCCCCGTGGGGCGTGGCCGGACCTGTTTTTTTCTTCGGGCGGGCGAGGGGAGGTGCTCGCGGTTGCGGTCGAACGGAGGGCGTTTTTGGTTTGCGAAGTTGTTGACTGAGCGTTTGGGGGCGGGGCTTCATCTCGTGGTTCGGACGCGCAGTGACCGCAGGTTTTCCGGGCTTCTCTGGTGGTCGGGGGGCGCATTGAACCCCTGCTTTCGTTGCGCTTGGGGCTCTCTGGAGGAGCCACTTCATCGGGCTGCCCTCGGCGCCCCATGTCTGGCCCTGGAGTTTAGGTTTCGGCGGGCGGCTGCCCGGCTGTCCCGAGCGGAGTTAGCAGAAGTAGGGCGGGCGGGTCTTGTGCGTTCCGCATCCTACATTCGTTGCTCTCGCGTGTGTTCCGTGTCTTGCATCTGTAGAGAGAATTTGCATCTGATTTCTCGTTTCCTCTTCAGACTTGTTGTTCGTTCGTGTGCGTTCGATCTGCAGCGGTTGCATTTGCCTTGCGTTTCTTTGGCGGTCGGGGGGCGTGCTTCTCTCCTGTTTTCGTTGCGCATCGGCTCGTGGCTGTCAAAGGTGCCCTCTGGGTTTCTCGGCGGCGATCGTGGACCTGGCGCGCTTTCTCCGGGCCGCCCTAGAATAGAGAACCGCGGGTGAGCACGTTCGGGCGCGCTGCTCTCGAGTCTTCACAACTAGGACAGCGGCCCGCGCCGGTTTGCTTTGAAACGCCGATTCAGGAGCGCGGCCGCTCGGCTGTTTCGCACGCGAGTTATCAAGACGTAAGGCGAATAATGCGTGTGGATCTTCCGTTTAATACTATCGGTGTTCTTATGTCGCGTCTTGTTTCCATTGGTCGGCTCTCAGGACACCGTGCTCTTTTCTGCGTGGGAGGAGGAGAGGGGGAATTATGAAAGGGTCGGCAGTCGAGGGGTCGCACTGCGCAGCTACATTCCGAAGGTTCTGATCCCCGAGAAACCGCGAACAACGCAGATTCATACCCCCGTCTCCAAAAAAGAAAACGGGCTGCGGGATTCGCGGACCCCCCCCCGTCCCAGATGCGCACTCCCCGCAGACGGTCTATTAGCTCCTCCTCCAACGCCAGCGGCCTGGAAAGGGATGCAGGGCGTGCGTCGCTATGAGGTCAAGGTCGCCCTGTTGCCCGAGCTCCCGCAGGCCTCGCGCCCCCCTCCGCCGGCGCCGAGGGCGCGCGAGACGCGAGACGAGGGCGACGCGGCCGACGGGGCGGGGGGGGGCGCAGCGGGGCAGAGGAGCGGGGTCCAGCAACGGCATCGGCAGGGAGGGCGCTGGACCGTTGCCCAGCCGATGGGCCGCCAGACCTCCCAGATTCGAATTCGCGCAGCGCTGCCTGTCGCCGACAGCCTGAGCCCCCCGCCTGTCCCACCGCAAACCTATCGACCTCTTCTTCGTGAGCGCGCCTGGCAGGCTCCAGCGCGGGCCGACCAGCCGCTTCACGACCTGCGCCACCCAGGCCATCGCTTGCCTCAACATGAGAAGGAACTCTGATGACCTGGATGGCGCGCGACTGCCCGTTTTCTATTTGCCCCTCGAAGGGCCCCCAGATGTCGGCCTGGGCCCCGCGCGGGGCCCCATGGAC